CACACACACACACACACACACATACAGGCACATGGAAGGCACAGTGTGGCGAGGAAAAGACCTAGTGGGGTGAATACGGGCCCCTCCCCCAGACCTCGTCTCTGGGGAAGGGGGGAATGAACGGTGTGGCGGCCTCTGGGCGGCCTCACTCTTGCCGCGCACCGTGGAACACACTCACGCCTGACTGCACACGACAAGAAGACCCACCATCGGGCCACGACTAGCCACGACACGGCCCGATGGTGGGTCGCTAATACATGTCTCATCGATCCCTCCTCCCCTTGAGCGTTTGACTCTGCGTGCTCATGGGACTGTATTTGTATGAGTGTCACGGACGCATACACGAGTGTTACGGTTAAAACAGCATGATGTTTCATTTGCCCGAGAGGGGAAGGGGACAGCAAGAGTGGGTTTCAAGTTTGAGAGCATTGTTAATGGTCAGCGCCAAGCAACATGTGGATGACAGGTCGATGGCTTTCTCCTCGACTTGATCGAGCAGCTGTCGCAGCCGAATGAGCACGTGAACGCAGAAGGGCCACGAGAGCTTCATTCGGCTTCACGGCCTTGGCGTCGTTATCGCCCTTGCACAAGTTCAACCCCCATGGCAAACGCACGGCATCTGTCACGTTACAGACGTTACAATTCCGCAGCCGTTGCGCAATTAATGTTTGAACATGTACACAATAGGCGCGACTGCTGTGCATGCCGGGCCACGTTGGCTGGAACGCGGCCTGTTGCGACAAGGAATGTATACATAGACAAAAGAAGACCTGATGTAGTGTACACTATTGTACGGCAAACCGTACTTGCACATGTATATGCGTAGAACTTGGACGTCCAACCGTGGTAGAACTTGGACGTCCAACCGTCGGCTGCAATTGCCTGCAGCCCTTCTTTTCTGTCTGTGTGTTGATCGGTCGGAGACGCAAGTGACCCGCAGCCCTGTCATCCCTGACTATGTCGACGATGAAGGATGTAAGCGAGGCAACCGAGAAAGGACAACTCAACCGACTTGTTTTACTCTTTGTTCAGCCGGTTGTTACGAACAAGGGGTGTTTTATGTATCACCCGAAGTCAATATCTCCACTGACGCCATGATGGGCATCGCCAACCCCCCGTCACTGTCAGATGAAGTGCTGGGCTTGGGAAGAATGTGAGGCGTTCACCTTCTCGTACGGCCAGGGATGCGTCCTCCTCACCGACAAGCTGACCGACGTTCAGCATGATAAGCAAGAGAGCAATTTCGCTACATCAGGGCCCAAATATTGCACCTCGGACGGACAGCGAAGCACAGAAGGCGGGAGAGAGGAGCTGACCGGGGGCTGGTATGTGACATCAGGAACATTTCGAAAGATAACAGTGTGATTATGCTATGTTTTGTGGATGGCAGTATCGCTCGGGGCTGCCACTACTATGCCACGCCTGTCGATGTTATCAGTCTGGGATCTGTTGCGACACCATTTAGGTGCCAGGCCCTCTGTCAGCAATATGAGGCCTGCATCGTCTTCAGCTACGACTACAGCACGCAGCTATGCACTCTGCATGCTACCGAAGAGAAAAAGACCACTGGCGTCACCCCACACCAGCTGTGTGGGCCAAGGTCAGTGCATACATGCTGATACATTTGTGCATCGATTGTGTGGATGTAGGTAGTGTGCCCTGTGGCCCGAGCCGCCCAAAGTGAGAGGCCCTGTGGCAAAG